TAGCATCTCAGAGGGAGGAGTCAAGGTCTTTGTTTTTATCTCATCTATTGGAGCCCTCTTGTCTGGGGAGCGCTGTGACACGGCCAGGAAGGCTAGGACTTTTGCACACTTCCCCGCTCCCCAGCCAAGTGCACACTGACTCGGCAATCCCCGTGCATCCTGTCTGGTCCCCAACACGCCCACCCGACAGGAAGCGGGGCCTGGGCGCCTCATGGGGTCGCCCACCCGGGCCCAGCACCACGCTCTGGAAAGCAGCGCGGCTGGCTGGTTTTTGAGGCAGGATCTTCCTCAGTGGCCCCAGCTGGCCTCCAGTTCATGACCCTTCTGCCCCAGCCTGAGTGCCTGGATTACAGGCTCTGAGTTTCAGTTTCTGTTTCTGGCTCCAGCTTCCCTTTGGACTCTCTTTGCCTTGCGTTGGGTTTAAAATATTGATTATCTCAAAAGTGCATGAGATATTTCTGAATCAGAGCCAGATTTGTATTAAATAATTCCCAGGAAACCAAATGTCCTGCTCCCCTTTTGCCCTGGGATGACAATTGCTCTTCCTGAGTAGCCAGACTGCCCACAGGTGAGCACCAAGGAAAATCTCTTCCCTACTGATACATGTCACCTCGTATGCAAGAACCAGTGCTTGCCTGCAAGTTCCGGGCTGCTTCCTTCTTGCACGTTGTAGGCGAGGGCACAAGTTCCTGCAGCCTGGCTGCCCACTCCAGCTCCCTGGTGCTTTGGGGCTGAAACGAAGGACCTTGCTCCAGGTTTATTATTCTTTTGAATCGGAGCGATTACCTGTACCAGGGACTACAGATCTAAGTCTTGGCATGTGAAGTCTCAGGAAGCATTTTTTACCAAGATGTTGAGAAAGCTAGGAAGGTTTTATTTCCCCTGCTCTTTCTCCCCACGTCTCTCTGACTTGGTTTTTCTGATACTGAAAATTGAACCCAGGATCCTTGCACTGACCTACATCCTCAGACACCTTTTTTTTTTTTTTCCTCAAGTAGGATCTCATGAAGTTGCAAACCTGCTCAGGCTGGGTTCCAGCTTGCCACACTCTTGCGTCAGCCTCCCAGAGTGCTGGGATTAGAGATGTGCACCACCATGCCCAGTTTCTTGTCGAACACTTTTGACGGTTCAGCCTTAACCTTGGGTTAATAACAGGAAGGGTGTGGGGATGAGCTTATTTTTGGAGCTGGTGTCTGAAGCCACAAGCTACTTCACTTGGGCTCAAAAGCCAGTATCAACCACAGTGAAGGTAATCATTAGATACTGCAAACACATACTAATAAATATTAAAATTAAGGGAGGGACAGGTAGCTCAGTGGCAGAGCACTTGCCCAGGAATCACGAAGCCCTGTGTTCAATCCCTGTCCCTCCAAAAGAATTAAATTAAAAAACCCAATGGGTTGGGGATTTAACTCAGGGTGTAAGCACAAGGATCCAAGTTAGATCCCCAGTACAAAAAAGAAAAATTAAAAACCCAATACCCAGAATTTAGATCTTATCTGAAGTTTCCATCATTGCCAAGGTTGGGACTGAAGATGTCATGGCAAGGTACGCAGTTAGCCAGGGTGAAAAACTCAGCACCAATAATAAATTAGAGAGATAGAATTTAAGGACGGAAGACTATTAATAAGAAGAAAAGAGGCAAAAGACAGGAACAAGCTAGTCCAGAGAGCGGGCAGGAAGAAAAAGATGGCTAGCCCTGAGCCCTTGGGCCTGTTTTTTAGGAACCCTTCCCTCCTCGGGGGTACCTGGAACTTGTCACACCCCTAGTGGTTCCAAGCTGTCTTTGGATGGGTCCCAGGTCAGATGACCCTAACCCAGGCACCGCTGTCTATACACACGTGCCTCCTGATTGGCTTTGTTCAACCTTTTCCTGCCCTTTTGTTCTTGTTAGGCCTTGTCTGTGAGACAGATAGGTTCATTAGGAGGAGCCTTATAGAAAAGGCAGCTTAGAGTTAGTAATTAAGCATAGGGACGCACATGGACCTAGGGCACTAATACAGTGATCCTAGAGTGAAATATACATACATAGATATTTATACATACATATCTATGTATGCATCGTTTTTCTTTTCTTTTTTTTTGCGGAATCAGGGATAGAACTCAGGACCTTGGTTCTTGCCAGGCAGCCACTGACGCCACTGAGCTAAATCTCCAGCCCTATGTATGCATTCTTGTATATGAAATAAGAGTTTTCTTTTAAGTTAAGTAGCCAGCCCTGCCTCCTTGGTGTGCTGTCGGGCAGTCACCCTGATTTCCATGCTCCTGGATCCCTGCACTGGCGCTCGCCTGTCAGCTCCTCTCTGGTTCCATCTCTCCTGTGGGGAGTTCGCCTCCCTTTGTTGTAAATTCTTATTGTTACGTCTGGTGGTTTGGAATCTAAGGGTCCCCAGACTCCCCCTGCTCAGGCTTGTCTCTCTGTCCGTGTAGGAGGAAGAGGAGTCAGGACCAGTGCCACGTGGCACTGTGACTCCATCACAGGTATTGAGGGACGTGTACAAAGCCACTCCCTCTGAGGTGAGGTCCCGTTTTCTGGGTCAGGGATCCCATCTCCACCCCCAGGCTGTCCACACTGGATTGACTGGATGTTGGGCTTGTTGCTAGGGGTTTGGACTCATGCGCTAATAGGGGGAATTGGATGGGCCAGGCGGTCTGCCCTAGGAGGGACCGTGCAGCCTGCACAGGGCAGGCGTCAGAACCACAGAGCTGCTTGAAAACTGTGCTGCTCGTAGCTACACAAAACCTGCATTCTCTGCTCTCTGAAAAAGGGGCTGAATCTGTCCCTAAACTTTCCCAATTTGTGTTATCTGGTGCCTTTCTATATCTGGTTTGGTCTTTGGTTCTTAGTTTTCTCTTTCTTTACTTTTGTCCTTTTAATGACTCCCAAAGAAATTCCTCTAGCAAAGTTTTAATTCCTTTAGTCAAGGATTAGCCAGCAAATCTAACTGCAGTGGCAAAAGCCACTTTTAGTAAGATTTTTCTACTAATTCTTTAATGAAGCCTAATGAGGCCCTTATGCTACTCCTTTCTTTCTTTCTTTCTTTAATAACAGGAATCGAATTCAGGACCTTGCACTTGCTAGGCAATGCACTGAGCTGCATCCTAGCCCTTATTCTACTCTTCCCTGCCGAAAGACCAGTGTTCCTTCCTACAAAGGTTCTGGCCCCATCATCCATAGGAGCGAGTATCCAGGACTTGGAGGTACAGCCACTTCAGTCCTTCTCTGCAGATGGGCCGGGTATGGCCTCTGGCCCATGAAAGGGGTGTTAATAGTTTTAAGGAGGCTTCAGGACAAGAAGGGCCACAAAGCTATGTCCTGGAGAAGAACAGGTAAAGAGCCAGTGTTATTGACCCTAAAGCCAAGCTCCCTATATGTTCCCTGAAGCCGGGGAGCCCTAAGGGGACAGACTTCAGTTTGTCCTAAGGGAGAGCTTGCAACAACTGCAGCAAAAATTGCCCAGAAAAAGCTCCTTGTTACTGAACATATGCAGAGCGAGGACAGGAAAGCCTCCCAGAGGTAGTACATTTAATTTGACATAAAGACTCAAGCATTTGTCAAGCAAAATGGACACTGTGTCAGAGTGTGGGAACAGCATGTCAGAGGCTTGGAAAAGCCAAGGTGCAGGGCACATCTGAGGAATGGTGAAGGTCATGAGCTGGAATCTGGAGAGGAGGGAAAGTAGGGTAGCAAGCTGGGAAGGTCCAGAGGAATCACACAGGCAGGACCTCCCCAGCCATGTTAAGAGCAAGGATTCCAGCCACACATGGTGGCAGTGGTACACACCTGTAATCCCAGCACTGGAGGGAGGCTGAGGCAGGAGGATCTCTGTGAGTTCGAGGCCAGTCTGGGCTTATCCTTTGAGGACCGTGCCGTCGCCTCTTCAGTACCCCCTTCCCTAGATCTTCCCTAGATCTCTAGGACTCTTACACTGCCTACACCTGCCCTCGATCAGCATTTACATTCGCTTCTCTCTGCAATTAAAAATTCCCGTCCCCCTCAATCATCGTACTTTTGCCTTTTCAAAAATACTA